TTTTTTTTTTTTTGGCAAAGCATGGGTTTTTATGCTGTTTGGAGCTTTGGTTTCTGAGATTTGTACCTATCTTTGATGGGCGGAAGTTTTAAAACCAATTCCGGCTACAAGCACACAAGACCCATCAGGGTCTAGGGTGAGCAGGGTAGGGTGGGTGTCAGAGTCTTGTGCCAGGACACTGCTCTAACTCTGGGCCCCCAGCACTGTGCCCCCCGCCAAGTACAAGGAGAGACTCCAGGAACAGAGCCAAGTGGAGGCAGGCCCCCTCTCCGATCAGCAGGGGCTGGGATTACTCAGGTAAACAGCCCTTTTTTCCAACCTTCAGCATACTCTGGCCTGGGCCTAAGAACCAACCTGAGATCTGCGGGCAAGAAATAGAATAATCTTGAGAAAAGGGGAGAGTTTGGGGAAACCATATGGATTCCCAGCCAATGGTTCTTTGTGATTCTTAAAACCCACGCAGAAAGCTGCTGGCCCATGCCCCAGGTACTCTCAGGCAGCTTGGCCCACCCTCCTGCTCCCGGGCCCTTGGCCTCAGTTCCACCGACCTCCTGGTGAGGAGGCCCATGCGTGAGCTTTGCCACCGGCAAGGGGGTGGGAGGCAGACCGGGGCCCAGCTTTGGTCCTCCTGCTGCCCTTCTTAGGCCTTGAGCTGACTCCCCCGGCCTCTTGATTCAGAAAACTGCCTCCAACCAGCCCCTGCTTTCCCAGCCTTCCACTCAGCAGATGGCTATTTCCAGCTACCTGTGTGCAAACCTCCAGCAGTCTCTGTGGGGCTGGTTCTCACTCAGGAATAACAGCAGGTGAGGAACTGTCTAAATTTTCTCTCCTCCACCCCAGTGAACACCACTGTGCCTCTAAGCACTTGACCTTAACAAGCTAGTGCTTCGGAGCGCAAGAGGCACATAGGTCATGGCGCAGCCCCGTACAGACTACAGAGGCCTCGCAGAGAGGGGCTAGCCAGGCTCCCGGAAGCACAACCCCTTAATGAGTGAAGCGTGTTGGTATGGTCAGGAGTGCCAGAGAGGCCCAAGGACTCCTTGGGGCACTGGTCTGTCCCAGCCTTCCCGAGGGCACCAACTTTCCCAGGGCTCTTCCTAGAGGCTGACTCGTGGGTAGCTGGGCAGAGCTGGGAAGGTGCATCTTTGGGGCTATGATTCTAGAGTGGCTTCTCTTGCAGGGCATGAAAAGCCAAACCTCGGAGTAACCTGCGTCACCACCCACTCAGGACCAAACCCTCGACTCCTGGGACACCCACCACGTAATAATGAGATTCACCCTTCCTCCCTTTCGATTGTCACATCAAGCCCAACGCTCACTGGGTTGTTACGGAGCTTGTATTCCAGTGGGAGACAGCAGACGGACCACATACAACAAATAAGTTAGATACACTCCAGGAAGTGGTCGGTGTCATCGAGAAAAATCAGCCAAGATGCACTGGTAGAAAACAAAGGGTAGGAGTGATCTTTAGATCAGGTTATCAGGGAAGACTGCTCAGAGGGGGTGACAAGGGACTGGATACTATGGTAATGTCCACAGGGTGACCCAAGGAGAAAGCACTCAGGGGGAGGAAGAGGGAGTGCAAAGGTCAGACCAGAGGGAGCAAAGAGGAGAGTGAGCAAGATCAGGTCAGGGAGGCCAGCAGAGGCCCAAGTGGGTGAGGAATCGGGCATTTATTCAGAAAGAAATGGGAAGCACTGAAAAATGACATGATCCAAATTATGTTTCTGTGGACACTCTGGCTGCTGTGTGGAAGTGGAACGGAGCGGATGGATGATCAAGTAGGGAGACAGTTAAGGGGCCGCTACAGGAGTTTGGGGAAGAGAGAATGCTGGCCTTGACCGCGGGGCTGGCGCTGGGGATGGAGAGAGGGGGTCAGGTCTGCAGATCGGGGGGAGGGGGCGGGGGTAGAGCCCACAGGGCTGGCTCAGGGCCTGGACATGTGAGGGAGGGCACGGGAAGACTCAGGGACGGCCTCTTGGGCAGCTAGGGGGGTGGTGCTACCGTTCTCTCTCTGAGGTGGGCAGAAGTGGGCAGAAAACATGTCTCTGTGAACGGAAGGGGAACAACAAGGGCATGAAACGTTTCGGAGCCGCCTCATGATCTCCAGGTCACCGGGGAAGGTCACTGGGCAGCTGGAGATGCTCTTGCTCTCTCACCGTGACCCCGTCATTCCCACTGAGCTCTCTGCTCACACTCTACCCCAGTCCCCCAGGCCGGGTAGCAGCCTGATTCCCAAACCACATCTGGCGCTTGGGCTCTCCCGCCTGCCTGACTGCCCCCCCTTCAAATGAGCCTGCCCATCATTTTCCACTAGCTCTGCTGCATCACTCACAACCTCCTGACTCAGACACCACCTAGCTCAGTATCTGCTACACCTCTGGGCCTGGCTGCAAGACCCCTGTCCCAGCTGCCCCCACGGGGCTCTCCAGGAGCCTCAAGGCCCCTGCGGCCAGCTTCCATGGCGCCGGCTTCTGCACTGGGCATGCCTGGCTCCTCTCTCACGGACGGACATGGGCAGAACTGGGTGTCCGGCACACTCCAGATCTCTGCAGCTCCAAGGAAAATGCCTTCAGGAGCTAAGCCTTCTGCCAGAGGTGGCTCGGGCCCTAGAAAGGAAGTTAGAAGGCACAGTTTGGAGTCCACCAGGCCCGGGTCTGAACCTCGAGAGCATCACAGAGCCCTTCGGCCTCTCCGAACCTGTGGTCCTCGTCTGTCAAGTAAGGGATGACGCTGGCGAGATGCTGAGCAAGTCACTACCTCTGTGGGGCCCCGGCACCCTCCAGGTGTGAGGAGAGGCTCCTTTCCGTCTCTGGGACTGGGGGAGGGGTGGGGTACAGGTTGGGCTTGGCTGGGGGGCAGGGGCGACCGTTCAACTCTCCCTGGCTCCCAAGTCCATGATCTTAAACACATCACCATGGACAACCATTATGCGTTGTTGAGATCTCCTTCCTGTGTGGCAGAAAGCTGTGAGACTGGCAGGTGGGGAGACGTGGCTCCTCACACACATGTGCATGCGTAAGTGTTAATAAAGCCCCAGGAAACTCAACCTTCACAAAGACCAGCTCCTTCCTGCCAGCTTTGTGTTTTGTTTTGTTTTTTAAAGATTTTATTTATTTATTTGACAGAGAGAGACACAGCAAGAGAGGGGACACACGCAGGGGGAGTGGGAGAGGGAGAAGCAGGCTTCCTGCGGAGCAGGGAGCCTGATGTGGGACTCGATCCCAGGACCCCAGGATCACGACCTGAGCCGAAGGCAGACGCCCAATGGCTGAGCCGCCCAGGAGCCCCTTCCTGCCAGCTCTGTAACTGCTGGTGTGCACCACAAATATGAGGGTTGCCGGGGCCAGGCCAGGCCAGGCACTTGTGACGTGTTAAGAGCACCCCGTGGGTCCCCCCATTTACCCCCATGTACTCCCAACTCCTCCTCCTCATGACAGGACCTTTTATGATCACGTCACTTCCTGTCCAGGAAATCTCTCCTAGGGAAAATTCCTAAATATACAAAGAGATGCATAAATCATATTAACCACTGTGCTATATATAATAACCAAGGACTGGGACGAACCTCTGCCTGATAAACCACATCCCATACACATCATCAAACATTATGCAGCTACTTTAAAAGAGGGGTTATTAAGTGTGAAAGTACAAAGAAAACATGCTGGTTAGCAATAGCAAATGATAACAGCAAAACAAAACTGTTTATTCAGGATGGTTTAAACCAGTGTTGCCCAAGAGAAATACAATGCAAGCCACATACTTAAATTTTTGAGTCGCCACATTTTAAAAAGTGAGTCTATATGAAATTCATTTTTAGCAACATTTTATTTAGCTTAATATATCCAAAAGAGTGTCATCTCCAATGTATACTAAATATGAAAAGTTATTAATATATTACTTTTTTCTATACGAAGTCTTCAGAATTCAACGCCTCTTTGGATTTCTATCTTTGAAATTACAGCACATCTCAATGTGGATTTGCCATGTTCCAAGTACATAATAGCCACGTTGGCTAGTAACTACCTTACAGCACGGGTCTGAGCCCTTAGAAATTTTAAAAAAGACTTAAGTATTAGTGGGGGAAGAAAACGAGAAGGAAATATCAAAATGATCTTATATCTTAATGATCATGGACTTTCGCTGAGTCGTAGGAACATATATGTGATTTTTTTTCTTCCTCCGTTTTCCAAAGTGTCTATAAATAATCAATTCATATTGCTTTTAAAATAACAGCAGGAGACAACTTTTAATTTTAGAATCAAAGGGATTTAAAAGACCTCACTGGGTGAACTGCACCTGCTACACACTGATTTACTGATGCCTCACAAGAGGGCCCTGTGCCCCTGACACCTGCCATAGGATACACTCTCCGTGCTCACTGGCTGATTATAGTTATTTGGTTGGGGGGGAGGGGAGGTAGGCTGGATGGATGGGAAGTGGGTACCGAGCAGTGGAAACAGTACATTACAGCAGATACCAGAGAAAACTAAACTCCGACTCTTGTTTCCAAATCCCAAAGCGATCACTTGCTGAAGTCATATGTATGACTTCAAACAAGTCACGTACCCATTCTGGGCTTTCATTTCCTCAAGTATGAAATAGCAATAATGACAGTAATTCCTTCACGGGGTTTTGTGAGAATTAAGTGAGATTATCTAGACAAAGTGTTTAGCACAGTGCCTGTCACACAGCCAACGTTTCCAGAAATGTTGGCAGGCTGTCCTTATGGAGAGTCAATGAACCATCAGTGTGGTCAGGCTGTCCAGCTCATTAAGCCGTGGCACCAGGACACAGGCTAGAGCCACCCTTACGCTGGGTCCCTCCCATGACCGCTGTCCTCCCAGGTCCCCTCTGGAGAGTAGAGAGCATGGCCTTTCGGTCACAGTCCCAATGGAGCTAGTCCCTGGGTTTGTGTATGGTCCCTCTGCTTGACACCCCCCACCCAACCATTCCCCCCTCTCCCAACCACAGTTACACAGTTGCCACAAGCCACTTACCTGCACCACCGCCGGCCTCACATTGAAGGTGCACAGCCAGTCACTGACGCGAGGGTAGCTGTTGAGCTCCGAGGTCCTCTCACCAGGAGCCACACTCAGCCTGCACTGCTGCTGCTTGCAGATGTAGCGGACCAGCTTCGCCTGTGAGAGCCCAGGGAAGAAAAGGCTGGGTCATTCAGGCCGCCCCAAGCATTCTACCCAGGAGCCTGCTGGATGCCCCCCCGCCTCCACTGCCGTCATTCAAACACCAGTGAAGTAGGAAATGGAGGGTAGAGGAGAGGAGAAGCATCTGACAAAGCCAGCAGGAGAGCTGGAGAGCCGCCCATGACCCCCTCCTCACCCCAAGGCTGGCTGACACTGCCTCACCCCGAGGACTATGATCCCCAGAGGGCAATGGGCAACATTGGTCAGGACAGAGAATGGGGTTAAGATATAAGAAGGGCTTACTGGGGGCACCCCTGGGTGGCTCAGTCGGTAAAGCGGCTGCCTTCGGCTCAGGTCGTGATCCCAAGGTCCTGGGATCCAGCCCTGTGTTGGGCTCCCTGCTCAGTGGGGAGCCTGCTTCTCCCTCCCCCTCTGCCTGACGCTCCCCCTGCTTGTGCTCCCTCTCTTGCTATCTCTCTCTCTCTGTCAAATAAATAAATAAATAAATAAATAAATAAATAACCTTTATTAAAAAAGAAGAAGAAGAACGGCATCCTGCCTAGGGAGAGGTGGGGGAAGGGTCAGTACATGAGGCTATGGAAGATGTGGGGGTTTATGAGAATGAGTCACCTTCCACTTAGGAGGCTTCCAGCCTAGAATCAGGCTGCCTGGGTTGGGATCCGGGGGCTCAGGCACCCCCTAGCCCTGTGACCTTGGATGAGTTACTGAACCCCCACGCCCAGAAAAGCCTCAGTTTCCTCCTCCAGAAAATGGGATGACAACGGAACCTCCCTCTCAGAGAGGCTGAGAACCTCAGTACAGCTCGGGCCTGATTAAAAGAAGGGTGAGCAGAACAGACAGAAATGAGCTCACAGCCCCAAGAGGAGGACCAGGGAGCTGCCAAGTCCTGCCACCTTCTGAGGGCTCAGTGGCTCAGTGGCAAGTGGGCACAATGGCCAGGGAGGGAACACTGAGTCAGAACAAAATAATTCCACTCAATTCCCAGTTTCAATATTTAGAGAAACCTCCACGGAGGCAAACCCCGGCCTTCCTGCACCACACACCTTGCAGATATCCCAAGCTGACATGGCTAATCAAACGTTCTTTACACCTCCGAGTGCCACTGCTAATGGAACACTCTCTGCTGAGCCTGACAACCCCGGGTCACCACGCAAGAAGTGCATCCGCTGTCCGATCGTGGAACTGAGCCCCCAGGAACATCTTCAGAGCACGGTTAACAAACAAGAAGATGTGAATGCCACTTTTATCCTCTAGGGTCAAGCAAAGGCACTCAGGTCCTTCGTCTAGCCTCCCCCCATAACGATCCATCCCTCCCAGAGTGACCAGAGGCCAGTTCCAAAATCAGGGCCCCCAACCTTCCTTCCCAGGCTCATCACTCCACACCACCCCTGGCTCACCCTGCCCTGCAGGCGCACACTCACCTAGGAGCAACTTCTCAAAGACTTCTAGTACTTTCCTACCCCTGGGCCTCTGCTCCAACGGCCTGCAGTGGCTACGAGTCCCCTCCTCCTCCGGCCACAGTGTCCTCGGGCTGGGCGAGACCTCCCAGGCCTACTCACAATCCCCATCTCCCCTTGCACACGTGGGGTCTACACCGCAACGGCAGCCCCTATCACGGTGGCCTCATACTCAAGCTTCTGACCCGGTCGCCCCCCAACAGATGTGAGTTCCCAGGGCAGCAGACAGAGCACCAGTCTCCGGAGTTGAACCACACTGGGGTTCAAATGTAGGTTCTGCCACTTAACAGTTATGTGACCTTGGGGAAGTCGGTTCATTTTTCTGAGTTGTGGTTCTCTCCTCCCTACAACAGGTGTGGTGACTTCGAGCCCGTGGTCTGTTGGGGGGATTGAATTACCGTACAGAAAACACCCGAGGCTACATAAGTCCCCAGATCAGTACCTACTGGGGCAGGGACGGTGTCCACTTCATTCGGGACTGTCCCCACACGCCTATTACGACACACAACACTTGCTTACAACGGCCTGAGGAAGGAAGGAGGCAAGGACACACATGGGCCTCATCCCCGCATTGAAGCGCTTTTCACAGCCGCTCCTTCCTTCCATCCAAGCTGCTCTCCAACCTCAGCTTCGAAGAGCTGACCCAAGACAGGGCCAAACATCAAATAACTGGACGGAGTCACAGAGGTCGGGCAGCAGGCCCTCACAGCAGCAGCTGGGAAGGCCATTTGCCACTGGCGTGAGAACTGAGGACCGGACCCCTGGGAGCCAATTAAGAACACGTCCACTCTACAGATGACTTTGGCTGTCACAAGTCAACATGAAGATTGGCCAACCCCGCCTCAGCAATGAGCCAGGGTCGGGGCTTTCTCGACTTCAGCCCCCTCCCACATATCCAGCCCTTTTCGGCCTCAAGGCCCTCTGCCCAGAAGGCTCTTCCCTGTGACCCCTGGGCCATAGCTCAGCTTAGAACTCCGTTCCTGCAGGGAGCCCTGCTCCTCAGCCCCCTGCCCGCCTCCCCCACCAGAGCTGTTTCCCTCCTTAGCCTGCACACTCCACGAGGTCAGGTGCCTGGTCTGTGTTCTGGGCCCCCACTAGGAACCAGCAGAGCTCCTGGGGCACAAGGCTGGCCCCTGGAAAGCCTCTGCTGGATGAATGGACACATGAACACACAATACATCCTGCAGTCCTGACAGGCATGCCCGTTTACCAGAACGATCGCAGAAAACAAAGGCCAACTGCACAAGGGGTCACTCAGGAGCTTGAGAGTCTCAAAAGCAAAGCAAGTCCCCCTGAAGAGGAATGAGCAGCTTCTGTTCTTCAAGGCTGCTAGAGATCCCCGCTAGACGGCACCAGGCAGTCCCCTGGGTATGACGATGCAGAACTTGAAGGGACTCCTCACTGCACCCAGTTAGCCACCCATACGCCTGGCTGGCTGTGCTGAGACAAGGCAAGCGGAAGACACCCAGAGCGTGGTGACCCACTTGCCAGCAGGTCTGATGTCCCGGCAGCTGCTCTCTCCGGGAGCTTGTAAAGAAAACGACACCTACAGGTTTGGTTTCTGCTCAAGTCACCAAGCTATTCTCATTCACAAAGGACGTAGGGAGCCGGTGTGCAGCAGCTTCCAGCTGAACGAAGACAAGTCGGCCTCACTTTTTGGAAAGTTGGTCACAGTCGCAGAAGCACCTGGGGGCTACTCTCCCAGACAAACCGCAGTGGAGGGCCTGCCAGCCCAGCCCCAGGAGCCAACAAGGGGACCGTTCAGGAGCGATGTCATTTTTTCTTAACCACAAAACCCCAAGATATAAATTTTCCCGAATAGAAAAGCACCTGGGGTTTCAGCAACGGGACCAGCAGCAAGAGGGAAAGAGTCATGGGCTCTCCGGCCGCCAGGGAGGACCCTGGGCTGGAAGTGAAGTCTCAACTCCCGCCCCCAATGGGCTTAACAGCTGGTAGGCAGTACCAGCCACAAGGGTACAAAGGAGGTGCTAAGTGTCCCCCCCCAGATCAAGGATCTTGGGAGAAATCCCCCTTAGTTCAGCTTCAATCTCACCACCTATAAAAAGGGTATCATTTTATGCAGGTGGGGGTCAAGTGAGTCATCATATATAAAACTGCTTGTAATAAGAAAAAAAAAATTATGAGCAACCCTATGCCAGCAAATTAGATAACCTGGAAGAAATGGGTGCATTCCTAGAGATCTATCAACTACCAAAATTGAACCAGGAAGAAATAGAAAACCTGAACAGACCTATAACCACTACGGAAATTGAAGCAGTCATCAAAAATCTCCCAACAAACAAAAGCCCAGGGCCAGATGGCTTCCCAGGGGAATTCTATCAGATATT